TACACACTCTTTTTTACTATTAAAAGGAAAAAAATTGAGACTCACGTATGACAAAAACGCTTTAATTAAAAAACAAAACAAGTTACAGTGGAATTCTGATAAAGTCAACACCCCGGACAGAAAAAAAGGGGATGACTTTGAGCAAGGTTGACTTTATCCATTGTACTACTGCCATTAAAAATTGAAGATGACAGCTACAAAATGACAAAGTACCTCGTAATAAACAAGATGTAATCTCAATTTCAGGGAGTATAATTCTGAAGTTGTCACCAAAACAAGAGATAATGAAAGAACAAAGTACATATATGTAATTGGTGGTGTGTACACCACTTGCTCAGGCGAATTATCTCTTCTAGAATGAATTCAACTCAGGATTTAGCCCCAAATTGTTGACTTCACGAAAGGTTAATACTCAAGTGGTAGACTGTATCAGAAAATCAGAAACACAATTACTTCAACTTAAACAAAGAAGGTAAGAAACGGGACTACAGTGAGGTGTTGACTGTAAGCAAGTTGACTTTATCACGATTCCACTGTATCTATGTTATTACTGATCATTTATGGTGAAAAAAAAGTGAAATTAGTTATCATCAACAAATGCAGAGTTCATCATTATGTCGAAAATATTTTTTCCCCTCACAAAAGTATAATATTACATTAGTTAAAGACCCCCCCCCCCTACACTTTTCTTACAGGAACCAAAGACCCGCCCCCCCCTCCTCAGGCGTAAGATTATATTTGAACGGCCCCTTTTATAGTGAAAACTCTCCATGTCTTTTAAAGAAACTGAACAAGTGGCAAAAACTTTACCTTCGATTTTCTCAAAACAGCATTTTTCGGGACAGGCCCCTTGTGCTAAAAAAGTGACCAAATAGAAACCATGTATCAGTATCAGTACCATTGCTGGCGATAAAGAAGACAAAACAGATTAGTTTTAGTTTTAGTAAGTGTGTTACGGCACTTACAACAGAATAAGGTCATAAGTGCCGAAGATTAGAGGTGTTACAAGAGAGTAACAAACACACAAAAAAAGAAGGAGGAGAGATAAAGATGGTAGATGTTTGATAGGAAAGAAGAAGCAAACCACACAAAGGCACCCGTCAACCACCCACTGTGATTCGATGGCTTCAACTTCATGGCAAAAGGAAAGCCAAGAAAAAGATGGATCAACGAAGTCAAAGAGACCCTTCAGAGGAACAGCATGATGATCAAAACACCTAGCATAAATCCAACAATTGACCTCCCCTCCACACCTTGTGGCATAAGAGGACAGAAAAAGTGAAAGTAAGTACTGGAGGGTAACATACAAAGAATAGGAGAGATATTATAAGGACAATAGAAGTTTAACAGGAAAGAAGGCACAAACCACACCAGAGCACCCACCGACCACTCAGGCTGAGTTGTTTTTTTTCTCTTGGGGTGGGGGTGGGTTATTAAAAAAACATTCCCTTCTGAGTTCCCAACTGGAGTTGGTTTGCAGGCTTAGGACTGCCGTAGGCCCATTAAAATGTTTTTTTGTCTTTGTTGGAGAGAGGTTTCCACAACTAGATGGCTTGATAGGACCCCAGTAGAAGCTGTGAGCTGTATGAGTTGGAGAGGGGTTCCCATAACTAGATGGTACTCAGTACTGAGCTGGACGATAAGTTCAAGAGAGTCCCCGGGCCCGCGTCTCCCAGCTATCTCCTGTCCTCATAGATGTCGCCACTATTGTTGATAGAAGTTTAAAATCGTTGTCTGTTAAGTTGTCCATCAGCTCATCACCATTACATCTTCCATGGCTGTCAAGTGCTCAAGTCAGTGACGTGCTGGGGTCACAACAGTCGACATTTCTATTGCAGGTACAGACGAAGTGCACTTTAAAACAAAAAACATTTCTTGAGTCAACTCCGCTCTGTCCGAGGAATCATTTTCATTTTCCTTGTCATCAGCATTGTCCTTTGTTGTTAAATCTGTAAGTGTAAGCAAGCTTGTTGCTGGATGATCCCTGTCTACTGGATTGTTGTCATGTGTCAAGGAAACAAGGACAAAATGGAGTCTCCAGAACCGCGGTAGATCACATTAAATACCGAAAGTAGCAAATAAACCATTATAGAATAGTATAGTAAATACACACAGATAAAAACGTGCATTTTCACTTCATTTATAGTAAGTCAGACAAATATTGCAAATAAACCAACGTAATTTTTTGTCAGTTACAATAAGCTGCGCATAACTGATGGGAATGGACTTCAATTTATCTCCAAAAAAAACACTGATTTGGGTAAATCCACTTGGGGTTCAAGAATAGATTATGAAAAAAATATATTGAAGGACTCCAATTTTATCTGAGTACTTGGCAAGTGTGCAGTGGGCATTGCTGAAGTCACAGAGCTGGAATTATCTTGACACCAAACTTGCCTGGCTTGTCTGGGCAGTACACTGGGTAGCTGAGACTTGAGACTGCCACTCCACGCCAACACGCCTTTGTCGACAGACATGTTGATGGTGGGGGTAGACGTTGGCGGTGAAAGTTTCCGCCTTCCTCTCCCCTGTGAACAAAGTTGTCGATGTCAGTGACATGGAGGACAGTCAGGACAGTTTTTTATCTGTACCTTATCATGTCGTTGTATAGGTTTTTTTAAAGTCCATACCAACACTATCAGGCTATTTAAGTGGCGGAACCCCTAAATTTTAAAGTCCGTCTTCGACAGGACAAAGACATGTGGGTTGAGAGCTTTGAAAACTCCCCAAACCACAGGAGTTCATGAAGGCCCAGCCGGTACTTGAACCAGGGCCATCTACTTTGTCCACAATGATACCAACAGAACTAATCAGATGGCTCCAATTTTATCTGTGTACCCGGCAGCTGTGTATCTGACTTTGTCACTTTGTGCAGAGATTTGTGCCTCTGTTATAAACCTGTAACCGTGGTTTTATGCACCCCGCATAATTTAGCAAAATTTCATCATTTTTTGCATAATTTCTGATTATTTTCCTTCATCATTCTTTGTAAAAAAATTAACAGAATCGCTTAATTTCACATTTTTGGGCTCAGTTTGCATAATTTCAGAATTTTTCTTTCATAAAACGACGGGGGACGGATAAACAAAGAATCTATGCCAGTTGCAGATTGCCAATTTTATCACACCACTTGGCAGGTCTGGTACCTTGATACTCATGCACAAGTTGTGGTACGGAATAGCCAATACAAAAGTATTTATAAGACAAATAATAGATAAATAAAAAATTTTTAAACAAAAATCAATTATTTGACTTTGTTAATTTTTTTCTAGTACAGGTTTATAGTCTCTAGCACCACAAGAAAGTCTCATTTATGACCAGGTTTGAAGATAGCAGAGCACAGTGCTGTGTCACCTAGAATACAAAGTCAAAAAAACTTAGATCAAAAGATTTACTAACAAGAAATACATACTTGCATAAAAAAAACAACCCCAAGCTATCTCATCAGTGTGTACAAAGGGAAATAACTCATTAGGATATCGTCCTTCACCTAGTTGTGTTAGAGTCATTTCCCTTGCTATTGGGCAGTCAGGGGAATTAAACAGAGGACAGCATGAAAAACCTGTAGTGTTACACTTCCAGCCCCAATATACATGACATAAAAGATAAAACTAGTTGTGGAAGTAGTCAAAACTTACATTTAACAATTTACTTACAAGAAATACATACATACATTAACCCTTCCAGCCCCAGCCATTTTTGTGCACTCCCTTATCCCAGTCCCAGCCAATTAAGCAGTATTTCAGAAAAAAAGGCATGCATTCTAAAAAGTGATGTAGTATCTTTGTAATGAGGGTTTAGATAATAACATTATATAACAATTTTTAATGGTAAATGTACAAATATGAAAATTAAAGTTTAATTAGATTCGCTCTTTCCGAAAATGCGCAAATTCGGTACCCCCCAAAACAGTATATATGCTCTTGGGACCGTGGGAGGTGCAAGTGCTGCTGAAATTATACGCGCATGGGGCTGGAAGGGTTAAAAAACACAAGAAGTTCAAGTTCGGACTTTCATTCAATACACCAACAAACTACATCCAACAGCCCACATTTTGCACACTTGCCTATAGACTCTCCATTCATCCTTCACACTGGTGAGTGTAGTACTGTGTTGGCCACCCAGCTCAAACCTCTCCACACAGTCTGCTCCTGTTTCAGCAGGACATGTGTCTTGTGGTTTGAACAGGGTGTTCACCCTTGCGCCACGATGAGGCCCAGTACTTCCAACTTCTGCAAGGGAGGGGATGGGGAAGGGGAACTGTGGCAGTCTCTGCAGGAAATCCAGCTCAGGCCAGTCTTGGCTTAGGTCTGCTGAGTGGCCACGTCTTCCGGCTTCATGACGGGCTCTCCAGTGACTCGTCCTCTCTTGCCGGTCCAACGTGTCTCTCCGTCCTCTGGTGGAACGCCTGTTTTCAGGTGGACGTTTTACACAGTGAAAAGATCTATGAAATCAATCACAACAAAAAAAACTTTGAAGG